ATCCTAAATTATCAAAAGCAAAATATTTATAAATTATTTTCAGGCTGATTTAGAATCTCTTTTATTTGTCACTGCTGTGTGGAGACACGGAGATAGAACACCAACATCTTTATTACCTTCAGATACACAAAATACTGTTGAAATGATAAAAGTAGGATAGAAATTATTCGGGATAGAAATTACCATTTAACTATTTTAGGAAAAATTTGGCGGACTTGGCCAATTAACTGAATTGGGCGCGTTACAACACTTTAAACTTGGAATTTTACTAAGAGATCGGTATAGAGGGTTTTTATCTGACGAATATTCTAAAAACGAAATCGGATATCGTTCGAGGTAAATAATAATAGATTATAAAATTAAAAATTGACCCTCGTTAGACAGTTACTTGTTGTAAAGTTTTATCGAAGCTAAAATGGTCCCAATGTGCTAAATTTCTTAAAATCATATTAGACAATCACCTGGGTTGTCGTTAGTCTAGTATAATGGGATTAAATGAATATTTTTAATGAGAAAATAAATTTACTAAAATTATGTATTGCCCAATTATTATTAAATTGAAAAATACAAAATAATTGTTCATTTTTCATAAAACAAAATAAAAATTATTTAAGCTACTATAATCGCACGAAAATGAGTATTTTAGCAAATCAACAGGGAATGTTTGCATCAAATGGACAAACTGCCCCAAAATTACCCTTAACAGAAAATGTCCCAAAAACTGGAATAGTTATTAAATATTTACAAAAAGGAGGAGATCCTTATGTTTTTGACGAAGTGGATTGTCCTGTTGCTAAAAATGCAGATGAGCAAATATTCGAGAGTGAAGAATTTAGAGAGGTAAATAATTTATAGATATTGTTAGAAACATATGAATAAAAATTGATGGCGGAAAATTGAGCGGAATTATATTATTTTAGATCCTACATATATCTTTTCGAAAGGATCGATCATGTCTAACAAAATAATTGAAATTATCGAGTTGTATTTCTTTAATGACAGATTAGACTTGATAAACCCGATATGAAAGAAAGATACCAATTATCGAAATCTCTCGAATGATATCGATTCTATTGGATAAAGTCTTGAAAAGTTAGAATCAATTAGTTGGATTTAACCCGGAAACAGTTTACCCGCATAATAATCTAAATTTTATTTTAAATTCATAAAAGATAGAAGGAACAAATCGACCTTTTCTCCAATATATTGCAAATAATTCTGGTTTATTTAATTTAACTCTTCGTTATATTTATAAAATTAATGATCCTTTAACTTTTATTTATGCACATCAAAATGACGGATTTAAACTTCCTAATTGGGCAACTGAGACAACTAGAAAAGAAATTACAAGACTATATAATTTGAAAGTATGTTTTCTTGTTACTAGTGTCTTTTCTATTGAGGCATTTGTGTAACCTCAAAGAGACTGATAAAAAGGTTCATTATATCGAGTATTCCGTTAAAATATGTAATTTTGAAGTAAATTCCTTGTAAGGAGCTCGAGGTGTCTCTGGTATCAATATGGGTCCGGCCTTTTAGAAATGTTGAATAGGTGTGGGTTGATGGCATCCCCAGAGGCACTGAGAGTGATCGGGTTTAATGGAAATCGGACGATCGCTTGTCAAGTACCAAGTTGATCGAACACACATAACGATTGAGAAAGAAAGTTCCACTTGATTCAAGACAATTATGTAAATTTTCCCTAACATCATTTGGATTTTACAGTCATATGGCTACTTAGGTTTTCATGAATTTTTAGTCAAATTCTGGGACTAGTCTTTCTTTAATTCCCGATTAATGTTAATTTTTCCGGATTAGGATTATTATTTAGCATTAAAGCTATAACGGATCCGTTTGACATTCCTAAATTGATTTACGAAGAACATAAAAAGATGAATTTATGGATCAAAAGTTAGAAAGATATTTTAATTATTTTTTAGAATTCGTTTGATTTCAAAACAAAAAAGCAAAAGCGTTTACTTTCTGGCCTCCTTTTCACTGAAATTTTGAATAGAATGGAGAATATTGCTTATGAAAACGATTTTGTGAGCAAAGAAAAGTTTTACGCCTATTCTGGACACGATGGAACTGTTGCTGGTTTACTTGCAATTTTTGGAATTAATTTAGAGGTGAAATGTTTTCAACTTTGAATTAAGCTCTGATTGCAGTCCAGTTTAAGATAGAAAGTTTTTTTTGAAAGAATATGAATGGAATAAAAATAATCCAGTAACGGGCTTGATGCTGGCATAGTAGTTTTGCATGCCTTTTCCAATAATATAATGATAATGGAATAAACATCTTGTTTTATTTACCAGCTTGATTGATGGCTAAGGATGGCGGTTCCTGGGAAATCTCCGGATATCCGGAACCGGTATCCGAACCGAAGTTTTCGGATATCCGGAACCGGAACCGATATCCGAACCGAAAATTTCGGATATCCGGAACCGGTATCCGAACCGAAAATTTCGGGTATCCGGAACCGAAACCGAAATTTTTATTTTCAAAATTTTCGCCTGCGGCGCTGTAAAGTTGAGTCCCAATGGATGATATAAAGGGATTAAGATCAATATGAATGGATCTGGGGAATTAACAGAGGTATTGAGGGAATTTACGATTAACAGTGTTATTTATGTGAGGAATGAGTGATTTTGGGATCGGACATATTGGTGGATTAAGAGCTGGAGGTTGGTGATGACGAAAGATATATAGTACTTCAATATTTCCTTAAAATTGTAAAGAAGCATCGTATGTGAGTTTTTACAAGTGCCTACAACTCTTTTCCGCGAAAGGCGAAACGCGAAATTCTTACAATTTTCCGATACGCTGAAAAATCTTTAAGGATCTATCAACTCAGTGCTTTGTTCCAAATCAGAGTCTCTACTGAATCTTAGCATCACCATTAGGATTTTGACAGGCATCCGGGATATCAAGGGATTCAAGAACTAGCGGCAAGGTTCTTCCATTTTTAGCGCCGCAGGCAAAAATTTTGAGAATTATGGTAATCCAAGGCTCCAGATTTCTTCCTCTTTCTGCGCCGCTGGCAAAAATTTTGAGAATTTTTGAAGTCATTAAGTCAGTTTTCTTCGATTTTTCAGCGCCACAGGCGAAAATTTTGTAATTTTGGAAGATCCAGGAGCCAGTTTTCTTCCTTTTTCTGCGCCGCAGGCAAAAATTTTGAGAATTTTTGAAGATCCCTAAGCCAGGATTCTTCCCTTTTCGGCGCCGCAGGCGAAAATTTTGACAAGTTTGAAAGGCCGTTGGGCGAGATTTCTTCCCTTTTCCCTAGTTCTAGGAACCGAACCGAAAATTTCGGATATCCGGAACCGGAACCGATATCCGAACCGAAACTTTCGGATATCCGGAACCGGAACCGGTATCCGAACCGAAGATTTCGGATATCCGGATCCGGAACCGGTATCCGAACCGAAAATTTCCGGATATCCGAGGTTTTTTCGGTTCCGGATACCCGGAACCGCCAACCTTATTGATGGCTGTACTTTTAGTATATGGTTAAATCTAAAAACTTTTTTGACCGAAAAGAAACTCACTGAGCTACAGCTTATCAAAAATTGAGCTTTGAGCTCGGTTAACTATCCTAGATAGCTAACTCGATATAAAAATAATAGAATTTTACAGTTGGCCTCCATACTAAAACCCAACATATAAAAAATTATTAAACAAAATAATGAAGATTTAAAAAATTCAGATATTCCCGAAATTCTCCACTGCTTTACTAATTGAATTACATAAACAAAAAAATAAATCTGAAGATTTAGAAGAGAATACTTCAACATTTTTTATTCGACTTTTCCATAAAAACGAAACTGATGGAAATGTTCTACGGGAAATTGAAATTCCCGATTGCGGAAATATTTGTAGTTTGGTGAAATTAAAAGAAATTAGGAGAGATTATATTATTGAATTGAAAGAATGGAATAATGAATGTAAAAATAATAGTGATTTTATATTTATTGATAAAGTTAATAATATGTAAAATTAAATTGCTAATTTTAAACACATCTTATTGGGACTCACTAAACTCTCATTCTTGATTTATTCAAAATTCCTCATAAAAATCGCTGAACTAAAATTTCTAAGAAATATTTTAACATAATATTTATTAAACTTTATTGAAATTGCATAGTGATTACTGAATCAATTGGATTATTAATATTTAGTAGGGCACGGACTTGTATTGAAGTTCACGGATTTGTATCTGCAAATCCGTGAGTCCAATCTAAACCGCAAGGTTTTTTAGAAAAAAGGGTTTCTATTAACCAAAAACGGTATAAACTTAAATTCCAGATTTTTCTCCAAGTTGTTCAATTTATGTTTCATGTTAATGAAATGTTAATGAAATGTTGATTATAATTGCCAATATATTTTGGTTGAATGCACACGGTGAAATTTTTGAATTTTTGAATTTGAAATTTTTAATAATGTTAAAAAACAAAATAATAAACAAAATAATAAGATTTAGTTAGCTTCAAAAAGAGATTCAATCTAGATCTATTCTTCATCATATTAAATAAAGTTTTGTTTAAAAACAAGTTTTATTTAAAAAAACGCCACTAATATTATAGACTAAATTAATTCTTGTTAAAACCCTTGGTGCACATTTTTCACTCCTCGAAGTAAAAATCCCGTAACACTGTACACTCACTCTCAATAGTTTGGGGAAATTAATTTTAATACAAATTAGAACTTCAAGAGGAAATATTTACTTTTGAAAAGGAAAAATGGACAATAATATGTAAAAGACTAAAGGGGTACATTGGAGCAGATCAAATAGATCTCATCAAAGTTTAAATTAGTCTTAACAAATTAAATTCTTTTAAATTTAATTAAAGATTTATTAGAAAGTTTTATATTTGTATTTGGATTTTCTTCTTCTTTATAGCCTTAAAATTGCCATTTTTTCTTAGAATCAACAATTTTCACTCTTTCTTTAGTTACTCCTTCCTCATCCAAATAAAATTCATAACTTCCAAGAGTCAGCAATGGAGTTATTGAGGCAACTAATTTCCATTCGGGATCATCATTATTTACCGTTATCTGGCCATCCTCATAATCATCTAATTCTGTTTTCAATATCCACATTAAAATGTATTGTCTCAACTTTTCCAATAAATATTTCTCTAAATCATCCATTTTCTTGAACATTTCGGACACACATCTTTCCTCATTTGTTTTTTTAATTTTAACGTAGAATTGAAGCAAACAGTTACGATTTTGTTTCGCGACAATTATAAAATAATTCCCTGGATTTTCAAATTTTAAACAAATTTCAATGTGAGAATATTCCATTTTAGCTTCTTGTTTATTAACCTTTAATGAAGTTGAGTCGGTAAAATTAACTTTTCCATGTCTTTCTCTTTTTAAAATTTTTCTAGGCCCTTCAGGATTCAAAAACCATATAAATCTTGTTAATTTATTAGGGTTTGATGGATTTGTCAATAGAGATGTATATATCCCTTGTATTTCTATATCCATAATTTGATTATTATTATCATCGTATCTTAAATTATCAACTTTCAATTTATTTACTTCAAAACTGATTTGTGCAGAAATCAAAGGCTCTACGGTTATTAGAATCTAAAAATGGAATAAAATTTAAATAATTTTTAAGTATACTTTTATTCAAACTAGGACACGGATACTGGTTTTGGTATCCGTCTCCGGATAGATGAATATATACAATGTCTGTATCAATATAATTATCCATGTCCTAGTCTTCTTTTACCCTATCCACAATTTCTGTTCCATCATTATCAGTTAGAACAATGCTAATAGTAACTACTTCTAAAAAATTAAACAATAATTCAAATAACATCAGTTTTTTTCCTTTATTTCCATCAATCACACTTTTATTAAGTGAAAATTCTCTTATAAGTAAATTCTGAATGGGTGCATTCATAAATAAGGAAATTTTATCTTTTTCGATATTTTCATCAATTTCACACAAAATTTCAATTTTACTTTTTATTTTCCCATCTTCAACTATTTTAGTGAATTCCATTCTCAATAAAATTACTTTAAAGGATCCATCCTCATTTTTATTATCTTCTGTAGATTTAACCAAAAATCGTTCATTAATTTGTAAATTTGAAGAGGAAAGAGTAAACAAAAGGAGAATATAAATAATTTTGTTGTTCATTGAAAATTAAAGTTTTTTTTAAATTTTTAAAATAAATATTTACTTTTGAGCCCTATAATAAATTAATTTTCTTTTATACCTGCACTTTTCTTGACATTAAGAAATTATTTTTTCTCATTTGATAGACTGTCCTTTGATTAAATTTTTATTCTATTACCAAATTAATTTGTCTATATTGGGAAATAATGCCCTTTATTTGAGATTTTGCCTTTTTTGTTGATACATTTAGTAATACATCCCACTTATCTCACTCTAATTCATACATATTTCGGCTTAATCTGGTTCTAAAAGGGCACTTAGGTGATTTGAAAGTCTCAGAACCGAAGATTTTCTAAGGCGCAAAAACAAAAATTAGAATTTCATCATCAATCACATGTAAATACATTAAATAATCAAATATTTGAAAAGCATATGATTTGAATATTACCAAATATTATTGCACTTTTTATTTACAAAATTATGTGATTTTGGTTTGGATCATAATTCCCATGAACTTTTAAAAGTCCAATGAGCTTAATTTTATATCAGTGATTTAAATATTTTTAACTTATTGTAATTTCAAACTTCCATCTTTTTTATCCGATTTCAAGCCTTCTTGACAATTTTAAAATTATTCATTATGAAATGTTTAAATCATTTTTTCTTTAATCAAGTTCTATTGCAATATTTAAGAGGTTTTCGATTTCGAAATACTTTTGTTTCGAAAAAGTTCAGCTTCAAAATCAAAACATTTGCTTAATTTGGTCTGTGGTCATACTTCGAATGCCTTAAGACCGAAAACTTTCTACGACTCGAGAACAGAAACTCTAAATTTCCTCAGTAACTTAAAATGTGCATTTAAAATATAAGTAAAAATAAAGGTCCATATCTATACCAGAAGCCGAGATTTGAAAAAATTTAAAATTTCTTCAATATTTATTATATGTCCATATCCGTCCGTATCCTGATATATCCGAGGATATCCGGATATTATCCGATCCATGGCCTGGTCTGGGTAAAACTATTGAAGTAAATCCACTCAATTTTTCTTTGAACTTTGAAAATATGCTGATAATTTTTGAAAATAATTTTAAATTTTATTAATCATCTATCAAAACATCTGTAATTGTTTATCTACATAGCTAATTATTTGGCTTTTTTAATTAATTACAGTTTAATTTATTTATATCTTTAAATATTTATAGTAGCATCTATGTATATGTAAGGCTAAGAAGTAAGATGTAGACAAACTTGGTGGTCAACCAAATTTTGAACTGAAAAATTTAAAATTGTTAACGTAATATTTTATAATTTAAATTAGTTACCAGGTCTATAATTTTTTGAAATAACATTCCCTTTACAATCTTTAATTTTGCGAAGATAAGAAAGCTGAAAATTTTAATTTTTAAAAATACTAATTAAATGAAAAAACTTGTTCTTTTGTAATAAAAACGGGGTCAGTGAAAATTGTCCAGTGAACGTTTTCTGTACATGGAGGGGTTGTTAATGAACTAGAAATTATTGGAAAAAAATTTGGAAATCTATTTAAAACTTACCCTTGATAGCGAACAAAGGAAGAAGTGAAAGTCTCAGCACCTTTAAAGCTTTCACGCTCAATACAGCAATTATGAGGTATTTTTAATTCTAAACAATGAGTTGAATCTAAGGCTTTTTTGTTTCCAAATTCTGTCAACTAAATTGAAGGAATTAAAAGTTTAAAAATTGGATTAATTTTTAGGTAATATTAAAGGGAAATTAATTATATTTTTAAATTTTCCACGTTAATTGGCTACTTTTTTCTAAATTTGTTATGCAAAAAGCTTCATGAGAGGCTGACGTTGGTCGGAAATTTAGTTTTTTAGTTTACTATTTCAGAAACTTCCAATTTCCGACCATTCTCTAGTTATAGATAAATAATTTAACTTTGATTTTATAGTATAATTATTCTAGTTCTGATATAAAATTCGGATTACGAAATATTTTATAGATAATTTAATTCTTTGTATGATAAGAAACTCAAATAAGCTTCTATAATTATTAACTAAATTATGTAATATACCTCTTTAAGAGCTTCCATTTCTTGTTTTTCAAAAATATATCTTTTTTTATCGTTTCCATCATCATTCTTAGCATCCTCTAATTTAATAAAAATTCCTAATACAGCCAATTTATTTTCATTTTCTACTCCTTTATGTACTAAATGTAATTCTGCTGGATAACGAAGACCGCCTATACAATGCTCAGAACCTTTAAAATAAATTTATCAAATGATTGTTCAGATAATCCTTATTTGAGTGTTTTTTGAATTTTGTCTGATTTATGTATAACTGAATAAGCTGAATAGAAAAAAAAGAGAAAAGCGCCAACAAAGGAAAGCTTGCCATAAACAACTTATCCTCCATTGCTAATATATTGTGAATATTTAATCAGAAATTTGTTTTAGAGTCATGATCCCTCAATCTAATAAATATATTCCTTACCTTCATTATCATTTTGAGCCCAATGGAAGTGGTATTGAACAAAACGATAATTCTGATCTAAGTTTCCACCATAGATTTCAGGGGGTTCTACTTGTGGATCAGGTAGAAATTGAACTAGAAATTTTTAAAATTAATTTGGTTGTAATAGTCCAAATAATTTCTAACATTTTAGGGCTAAATGTGTTGAAAACCTTAGTATAAGGATGTAATAACATGAGACCTACCCATAACATACATAATAAAAAAATAAGTTACTTGAACATCCAGTGTTGACAAATTGGCCAGGCAAAGGCTTTCTATAATTAACGAGACAGAGAGGGTGTGTAAGGGATAAGATTCTCATTTGTGAGAGTTGAAGGTTTATAGGGGATTGTAATTTACCTAAATAAAATAATTTATAGAAAATCACATAATAAAATCCAATTTAATAAATTTAATTTTACCTAATATATCATCACCAATTAATTTCAGCCAGTTATTCGGGCCACAAGGACCTGAAAATGAGAGAGAGAGATTTTAAGTGTTTTAATTAGGAGTTAACCAAAGATCTAATAGCCAAAATCTTTCGTCAAGACACTTCTTACTAATTCTTTAATCTTGACCATGGAGCTAAGTTTTAGTTTTGCTTCTATTGAAACATATAGAAAATACGCATACCTTATTTAGTGTTTTTTATCCTTTATCCTTTTTTCCAAAGGTAAAGTTATTCAAGTATAAAGCTAAGATATTAATCCATTTAAGAAATATTATCCGGAAATATTAACTATAGCCAATACTTATAAACTAATCAGACATACCTAAGTCATCGTAATCCCAATCTTGAACAGTCAAGGGTTTCTGAATTTCTTGCTTTTGTTGATTATTAGATATTTTTTCATTTATTCTTTCGTTAGTTTTTTCAGACGCTTTATCAGTACCTGAATCTGGCACAATAATTTGTGTGGCATTCACTGCTTAACAGAAAAATATAAATATTTAACCAATACCCATTCTAACCATTAATTTCACCATTCTTTGCATTCAGCGGAGTCTGATTTTTGCAAGAAATAATATCTTCAGTTTTATCTTTAATTAGTAATTCTTCTTGATGCTCAATTAATTGAGTAGACATTATATTTGTTTAGTTAAAATATTGGGCAAACTGAGAGGTGAAGTAATAATTAATTAAAGTATTCTCCTAAAAAAAGGGCAACAAGTCGGTAAATCTAAAGTACGACCAGAAAATGCCTGAATCTAGGCTCAAGTTGAACCTAGGCCATGGCACAGACCCATTTAGTCCCACATTCAAATGAGGGTTAAAGTGTGGTGAAAAAAGAAAAATGAATTCAAGATAGTTCAATTTTTTTTCTCGATTTTAGGTAACAAAGATCTATGAAAAAGATCTTATCTTGCAAGCTTCCGCTTCTCGCGAAATTACTTTTTTTAGATTTTTCTATTAAAATAATTTTTTTATTTAATTATTATCAATATTCAATTAGGTATATATTCAGACAAAAAAGACCTGGTAATAATTAGAGATTAATTTAAAATTAAATACAATTCTATGAGGGGGTTGTGTGGGATTTCCTCGTGTTGTGTAGGAGGATGGATTAATTAGGGAAACAATGAGATATTTCTCTAATGATAAAAATTTTTAATGAAAAATTTCCAGAGGATTTGCAATTAACATTTAAAATTTACTAAAAGATAAAAAGAATAAAATCCCTCAATAAGCAATTTTAATAGATGTAAATGAGCATAAGCAAACAAAAAATAATTAAGTAAAGTTTAGAGAAAAGGGATTTAAAAATAAACTAAATTAAATTGTTTAATCTTTCTTTGAAGTGTTTGTGTGCATACAAATATAATTTTTTGATTTTAGATTTTGTATATAGTTTGTGTTATTAATGATAAAAATAAAATTATAAATTTATTTTTAATTAAAAAATATTATTTTGATAAAATAAAAGATTGGAATTGAGGATTGAAAGAATCATGAAATTTGGATTAATCTCAATTTTAGGTAAAAGCTATTTATGAACGAAATCTTGTCTCGTTATAATACATAGGCTTCCGGTTCTCGCAGAATCGGAGCCTATTATTAGGCCTTATTGAAATGAAATAAGGCCTAATAGGCTACTAGGCCTTATTATTACGCAAAACACAAAACTTAATATGGGAATGAGTTTTAGAATAATAATTTCAGTTAGTGATAACCAAAAATTATCAAGTCTAGGCAATGTCCTATTTACTATGCTTTACTACAACTAACAATTATAGCAATATACATATATCCAGTATATCTTCTTAGTATATCCAAAAATAAATTATTATTTATATAAAAATATAACTACATAATTAATTTTAGATGTAAATATGGCAATTTTTTTATTTTAAATTGATTATCTAAAAAATGAGAAGAGAATTAAATAAAAAATAATTATTATGAGGCCATAAATGTAAATAAATAATTATTTTTTGTAATTTAATATTTATTGGAAAAATTGGTGTTTGGACTTTATAATCGATTTTTGGAAGAATTGAGGACCAAAATTTTATCTGGCAAGGGTTGGTTGCTAATAAACAGAAAAAAGGCCAGAAAAAGTGCTTGAATAGCAGCTGCCATATTTTTTTAATAAAAGTTGACTTTCTTTAAAAGATTTTCAATGGTCATGAGAATTAAATTTTTGGAGGAATTAAAGACCACCTACAGACTTTTCTACATTTTTATAATGAACACAAGTTTAAAAATTTTTTAAAATCAGATTTTCCATTCTGAGATAGCATAAATGTATGTAAATATACTGAGGTATTTAATTAGTATTTTATATTTCATTAACAGGAAGTCTTTTTTAGTTCTTAAAAACCTATAGTCACGAAAAGATAAATAATTAAAATTATGTTGATGGATTCTAAAAAATCTTCAAATAATTTTCTTTTCTGTATTCATTGGAAAATAAAATAGGTAATTGTGAAATATTATTTAGAAAAATTTTTTGAATAGAAATTTTAAAAATTTAAATAAAATATAAATTTTTTTTTGAGAAAATTAAAAGGAAAAAGAGATAATTAGAAATTAATTTTAAATAATATTTTAATTTAAAGAAATTTTTTAAAATTTCAAAAATTTAAGTATTTCTCTTGAAATATTTTTAAAAATATTTGTAAATGAAACATTTGTTCATTTAAAATTAAAAAGAGAAATAAAAATATAACAAAAGTCTGGCATATTAAAATGACGTTTATATAAATAATTACCTATTTTTAGATAATCCTACTTGGATTAATATTTTGACGTAAAATAAAGCCTGAAAAGTCGGAAAAAGCATGACAGAATAAATTTAAAAATAAGCAGAATTTACATAAAATAACAGAGAATAAACAATCAAAACATTAATTCACAATAAATTTCGAAGAATAGAACAAGAATAAAATAAAAAATTTAAAAATAAAATAGAAATATAAAAATATTTGTGAAAAATAAAATAAAAATATTTTTAAATAAACTAGAAAATAAATATTTATTTAAGTACAGATTTATTTTTCCAAAAATATTTAAAAATCTGTGACTTTCCAAATCGTATTAAAAAGTTTTTTTGTTTGTTTGTTTGGAACAAAGTTTATTTACTTACTAAACATTTTAATATGATTAACAACAAAATGATTTTAGAAATATCTAAAGAAGATTAAAAAAAATTTTTAATTTAAAGATTTTATGATTAAATATTTAATAAAAACATTTCTGATTAATTTTGAAATGTTTTTTGAATGATTTGATTTTGTATATTTTTCTGTTTAAATTTATATTTTGTTCTGGTTTTAATAAAAAATTTAAAAAATGCCTGTTTTTTAGCTTAAACGGCCTGATGCTGGAAATTTTGTATATTAGGCCTGCCTATTTTGACTTTTTTATGGATTTGGTACCTATTTTGGCAGTTTTTTGTGCCTATATAGGCGCATTTACTCAAATAATTACCCTCTCTCAAATAATTACCCACTCCCTATTAATTACCCCCTCCAGCGAGAGATCGAAACAATAATTACCCCGGGTAATTATTTCAGTAAATACGGTAGGCGCATTTCTTTGACTTTTTAGTGCCTAAAAACCCTAGCCCTAATTATAAGATTGTATTACTGGTTTTATATCTGATTTTCATTTTCTAATTTTAAAAATAAAAATCAGAATAAAACAAGATAATTATTGCATTCCAAAATCAGAACAAAGTATAAGTTCTAACAGTAAAATTTCATTTTAATTTTTTAAAATTTTAATTCGTATTTCTTGAAAATTAAAAATTCTGATGAGTAATTAAAAAAATATATGGTCAAATTTTAATAAATAAATACAATTATTTTATTATAATCAAAGAAAATGTTTCAAATAAAACTTGTTTAAAGTTTGTTTATTTTTAATTAATTAAAAGAAAGTGGTTAAATATTTAAAAGCACATGTTTTGACAAAAAATAAAAAAAAAGAAATGGAAAGAATTTTAATTTTGCAAATTTTTTTTCAATAGAAAATAAAATTAATCATCGTTATGATTTTCAAAAATATTCTTGCAAAATTTTATGGCTCGTTGTAATTTTTAAATTGTCTCCCCTACAACTTCTTTGATTTTTATTCTAAAATTTTTCTTTGGAGTTCATTTAATAGCAAATTAGTTTCCATTGAATCTTATAAAAATCCTTATGAAAATCCCGAATTTTTGGTTGGATAAATAAAATTATTTTAAATTTTATTTTATAAATAATCTAATTGTGAATCAAATAAAAATCTAAACTTGATAAAGCTTATCTCCCGTTTAACAACTTGTCAAAGAGTTTCACGTCACGGATAAAAAGGAGTTTAAATTTAATTATTTTCTTCAAAGCTATCTAGTCAATCTTAAATAAGTTATAAAAGTTAAGGAAGCCAGACGGTTAATATTTATACGTAAATAAAATCCCAAAAAACCAGGAAGTTTAAATAAAATATTTTTTTGAGTACATAAAACATTAAAACGATTAATCAATCAAAAATAAAAAAAACTTTAAAAACATTCCTTGCCCAACAAACAAATTTATTGGCGTCATTGACCCCAGAAAAATTGAAATGATTAATTATTTTGTTTTTGAAAGTGGTCCAAAAAAGTGGATGGTATAAAAAATTAAAAAAGGGAGATAGTGATCTTACTTTGTGAATAGCACGAAGTTTTGATTGTTTTTGTAAAAAATAATGAGAAGAATGAATGAGTGATAATAAATTTTAGAAAAACGTTTGAAATCACAAATTTCAAGAAGAGGATGGGCAAGAATAAATATATTTAATTTAAAATTAAATTTTTCATAAACAAATATTTCTCAACATAGGTATGTATTGTTAACGTATTTCCT